ATGATATCAGGGGTTTGCTTAAAATAATATGGGATGAGGGGCACTTGGGTGGCTCAGTCAGTTAAGTGTCCGACTCTTGATTTCGGCTCAGGACATGATCTCAAGGTTGTGAGATTAAGCCCCGCGTTGGGCTCCACTCTCAGTGAGGAGTCTGCTTGAGATTCTCTCTCTCTCTCTCTCCCTTTCCCTGTACCCCCCCCAACACGCATAAGCACGTTCTCTCTAAATAAATAAATAAATAAATAAAATATTTTTAAAAATAATATGGGATGAGTAAGTGGAGATGTAGATGATGTCATGAGTTGCTAACTGTTGAAGCTGGGTGACAGGTATGTGAGGGTTTATGATATTATTGTTTTTGCATGTTTTTGAAATTTTGCACAGAAAAAAAAGAATGTATATATAGGGCGCTAAACTTGGCATAAGAATTAGAGATGAAGAATCTTAAGTTCAGAGAGTTTAAATGAATTAACAAAGATCATACAAGTAGTAAGAGATGTTACTGGGAATACAATGTTTTCTTAATCTTAGAACAATGTTCTGTATACATTACATTAAAAAAATGTCAATGCTGAACAGTACAGACCTGTAAAAAATATTTACTGAACCAATTTATAATTGTTGCCACTCCTGAGAAAATTATTCTATAAAGAGTTACTTGGAAGACCTTTGACTGACAAAATAGGCCAGTTACTGTTCTAAGCTTTGTACATGTATTAACTCCTTTCATCCTCAGAATAACACCATGAGATAGGTACTGTTGTTGTTATTATTATTCTTATTTTATAAAGTAATCTGAGGCACAGAGAAATTAGGCCCAGACAAGATTTAAACCTTGGAATGCTGTCTCCAAAGTTCTTTATGTTATAAAGCTTCACTTATAAATTCATAATTTCTTAACCTTATTAAAGTTTTAACTCAAACAAGAATCTAAAAAATTGCAGGACAGAAACTTAAAAATAGATCACATACAAGTACACACACATATAAAATATATACACATACTATGTAGATCAGATACAAAAGTATATTAGGGCTTGAAAATGAAATACAGAGGGATCTATGGAACAATATTCCCTTCTGTTACTTATATAATGGCAGCATTCTTGTTACATAAATATGCACAGTATAAAGACAATATTAGATAAAATCAAACTTTCCATAGTCTACAGCAGCTTCATAATTTTAGGTGCTGAAACAAAGCTAATAAAGGTCAGGCTATGAGTTTAGTAACTACTTAACTGACACCTAAGCTACAAAACAGTGGTGCTGAAATCAATTGGGAGGCAATTATCTGCTACAATGAGAGTAAATAAATGGTGATGAGAAATAAGAATTGTTAAAAAAAAAAATCCAAACACACTTATACTTTGTTGTAAAAAGTGTGATATAAAACTTAGAGTATTTTATCAGATCAGTTCTTTTCTTAAATTTCTTTCCCACAGTTCAACTCTCCTCACAGAAGAATTCAATTAACGATGGCATACTATTTTATCAGTGGGCCTAAGAACAAGTTGGCATATTTTCCTGTTCTCTGAGATTGTCTTTCATTATATCTGGAGAAACAAAAGTAAAATTAGAAGCCCGCTATAATATGAATATTATTATCATGAAGTCAGAAATAATACAAAAGAAAGTCCTCAAAGCCTTTTTTACATCCAGCAAAAGCTGTAAGTTACATAATTAATCCGTCCACTGAAAAACTGGTTGCAATGAAAGTGAAATCCTGTGAACTTACACAGATTAGTACCAGAAATGCAACAAAAATTGGATCTTTGTTTAAAATTATAGTTTTGACTCAGAAATGCACAGTGGCTTTGAAACATAAACCTAAATAAATGAAAATGTATCTCTGATATACATCAAGAAAACCTGTTTAATTTCACATATATAAAAATAGACTCACAATTTCTTAACCTTATTGATATTCTGGCTCAAGTAAGAAACTAAAAAATTTCAGAACAGAAACCCAAAAAGGAAGATTAAAATATAAATCATTAAATAATACCTAATAAAATAATTAAATAAATATACAATAAAATAAATGAATGATTAGTTATGGAAAAATCAAATTTTATCCTATAGTTTCAAAGCTCTTCCCCACCAAAACTGTTCCAAAGCTCTAAGTAGCTACATTGACTAATTTGTTTTACTTTCTCTGTCCAATTATTTTCCATGGAAACATCCATAACATGTGCTACAGCACAAACATAGATGTAACTTCAAAAAATTGTTGTGAAAATTCAATGAGTCAATATTCATTAAGTATTTACCACCCTGTATGACACAGCAAACAATCAATAAATGGTAGTCTTATTAAGACCTGTTAATAGCACCCTTCCTTTGCATAGCATTTCTTCACAGTAACTTCTTAAACTATACAAAAGTCTTAATAGTTTACAGAATTCACACTGATTTCCAATATTCCTGGATGTCTGTAAAATTTGACTTAAAACACAGAAAAAACTATGGTGGTTCATCTAGCCAATTAATATCTTACCTCTGACTGTGGAAATAAAAGCTGTTGTCAGGGCAATTGTGTTTGTAAGTCCAGCTCAAACAATTAATGTATCAGAAATATTCCTATAATCCATTAATATAACTAAACTTTTTAAAAAGTATTGATATTTTAATTTGTTTTACCTGAATCTGTTATTTTCAATGTATTCTTAATTACAGCTTTTCAACTTTCAAAGGTGTATTATTTTTTTTTAAGATTTTATTTATTTATTTAATTGACAGAGAGAGAGGCACAGCGAGAGAGGAACACAAGCAGGGGGAGTGGGAGAGGGAGAAGCAGGCTTCCGGCCGAGCAGGGAGCCCGATGAGGGGCTTGATCCCAGGATCCTGGGATTAGGACCCGAGCACAAGGCAGTCACTTAACCAACTGAGCCATCCAGGCACCCCTCAAAGGTGTACTATTAAACACATAGTGTATTCCACTATTCTGGAATTTGATTTAAAAATTTTTATCCTATCTCTACTTATGGCTAAATATAAAAGGGTTTTCTAGTCAATATACAATTCCTATAATTCCCTGGATTACTGGAATTCAAGAATAAGTTTTTTTAAATTTGCTGTGTAAAAGAAATAAATAGAATATACATTAAATGAATGAGATATGTCTTCCACAAAATAACCTTAAAAGATAATTAGTAGGATACATGATGTTGATAAGGTCCCATTTCCTAAATAACCACCAAGGAGGATAATGCATTTAACAAGTCTTTATCAAAGAAATTAAATGTAACAGATACAAAATAAATTGCAATCTTTAACATAGTGATCTACGGAGCCCTGAGAAAAGGGGTCAAAATGAAGACTCATTTTGCTTTGTTCTAAGAGAAAGGTTGGCTTAAGTATCCACAACCCTTGAAAAGTATTCTCTGTGGAGAAAAGGAGTAATTCTTACGCTTCTACTGTAACTTTGATGATGATATATCATTCAAGACTTTCCAAGTTCCTTTTCTTTGATTTCATGATTACCACACAACCTCCACTTCCCAAGTTCTTCACTACAGCAAAGAGTGCACTGGATTTTTCAACCTGAAAATTCTGATCACTCTAAAGGGTTATCTTCTATTCCAACATAAACTGGCATTCTAATATGTACATTCTAATGTGTACCTCATTCTCTTACTTTTGTTTAGTTTGAGTTGGGTTCCTGAAGCCTGAGTATATATGAGTAAAAATATAAATATGAGTTTCTTACACTGGAAATATGAGAACCAGACAGACATTCCTTTTTACTAATGACTGCTACAATAACCTCTTGGTTTTCACCCCCCGCCCTTAACACTATCCCTATAATTTTTTAAAAATGAAAAAAAAAAGGGGGGGTCTACCGAAATAAAGTTAAACCAAATTAGGCAGATTCATTTAAACACCAAAATGACTAATTAAAATCAAAACAACAACCTAGAACTGAAACCAAAATATAAGGATGTTTACACAAGCCTCATCTACATTTACTCTATTTCCGAAAGACAAAAAAGAAACCTATGATACTCAAATTGTGCTTTAACACAACGAACAGAAATTACGTTTGAACTTGCATCACCCAGCAACGTTATTTATAAAGTGGTTTGGCATATGTAACTCAATTATCCTAAGACTTCACTTGCATTTAAACTGCATGAATTGGAGATTTCAAATAATAACTCTGCCTTTTCTCAGTGGGTCATTCAAAGTAATTGTGTATTCCTTCAAAAAATACCTCTTCCACACTTCAAAAAATTCAGCCTCACACCAGACACTCCAGCTCTTCAATTGTGTCCGCTTAAGTTTCATTTACAAAAAGGAGAGGACGCTCACCAATTCACACTTCGCCTAAAACAAAGAAACGTCCATTATTAGCCCTAAATATACAGGGCAGAATTCTCTTAGGTCCATGATGCCAAGAACTTCAACCGCAAGTGAAATTGTCTTTGCAATCTCGGTTTCCAGGAGACTGAAAGGCTGCAGAGACGCGCAAGGATCCTGCAGAGAGGTTGGGGTGGCAAAGGGTGAGGGAGGAGGGACGGAGTAAGTCTGAGAGGAACTGCATTAGGAGACTTTGAGAACGTATAAGGGAGAGGTGGTGAGATACAGGGAAAAACAGATTAAGTACGTTTTCAAAGATAATTTAAAGTGATGAAAGTAAGGAAAGATGAAAGAAAATCACTGGAGGGTAAGCGAAGTAGGAAAAGGGAAGGGGGGGGGGAGGCGGAGAGTGTAAGGGCCCCAAAGACCAGAATTTGAAAAAAAGTACGCGAGCTATGAGCTTGGCCTTGGTCCGAATCTCCAGTCAGGGTGCACGGACCGCAGGAGGAAAGGATCGCACTTACTCAGGGCTGTAGAAAGCAACGCATTTACAACGGTAACAAACGCTGCATAAGAAGATGTCGCCTCTCTCCCTGCTAGCTCCCGTTCATTTCTTTACCTCTTACTGCAGCACCAGCGTCACTCCGGCAAAACTCTGCCAAAGCCTGCGCCGCAGGAGGACAGCAAAAGGAAAATACCTGAGTCCCAGGAATCACGCCGGCAACGACAGGAGGAGGAGTCGTGGACCACTGGAGTCAGGGCAGGATCCTCACTCGTCTCCAGTCAAACCCCAATCCTTTCGGGTGGGGCGGCGATCTTCCGCTCGGAGCGGAAACGTCACTTCCGCCTAGTGCCTTCACCCTTCTTTGACTTCTCTGCTCTAGATCTAGATACGTTCTCTACTTTCGTAACGTTCTCACTTCCTTTTCAAGGAACCTGCGGCCTATTCGTCACTTGACGTGGACTACATGACCCAGCATTCACCACGACAGGTTGATTTCCGGGTCAAGAGGTCCACTCTGGGTAGATCACCATGGAAGCCATCGGTTTGGTCACGTGGTGCCCCTGGTTACGCCCGGTGGCTGCTGTGGGGTCTGCGGCTCTGGCAGGGGCCATTTTGCCGAAGGCAGCCTGCCGGGGGCGACTTGGCAGCTAACTGAAGCTGTTCCTTTTCTTCCTCTGCAGCTTGGGGCTTGGAGAGGAACTGGAAGGCTGGGCTCCATCGAGTCCTTCAGAGACGATGGTTTCCTCCAGCCTCTGCCACCTGACGACCCTCCATGGCGGCTGTGCCCTCTGCGCTGCGCCTCCTGCCGCAACTTCCAGCCCTCTGTGCTTGTCGCCTCCAGAGCTGCAATCGTCCTTCCGCCCCAGAGACTGATGATAATCGAGGTGGGGGCACCATGAGAGGCGAGAAAAACTATTGCCGTGGAGCTGCCGGAGACCACAGTTCCTGCCCACCGACACCTTCGCCTCTGGCCTCGACCCTCATGATGCCCGCGGAGGCAATCACAAGTAGTTGGTCTGGGTCTGGAGGTGGTTTGTCAGGGGGAGATGAAGAGGAGACTCGGCTTCTTCAACTCCTCCGGACTGCGCCAGATCCTTCCGAGGCCTTCCAGGCTTTGCAGGCTGCTTTGCCGCGGCGGGGCTGTCCACTCGGCTTCCCCCGACGGAAGGAAGCATTGTATCGGGCCCTGGGCCGAGTGCTTGTGGAAGGAGGTAGTGATGAGAAGCGACTCTGCTTGCAACTCCTCTCGGACGTTCTTCGGGGTCAGGGGGAGGCAGGCCAGCTGGAAGAGGCCTTTAGCTTAGCACTTCTGCCTCAACTAGTTGTCTCCTTACGAGAAGAGAATCCAGCCCTACGGAAAGATGCACTACAGATCCTACATATATGTCTGAAACGTAGTTCTGGACAGGTGCTGAGAACACTTATACAACAAGGACTGGAAAGTACAGATGCCCGGCTTCGAGCTGCCACAGCAGTGCTGTTCCCTATCTTGCTTACTCCTGAGGATTTGTTGTTCAGCCTAGATCTCACCGAGGTAATAATATCCCTAGCCAGAAAGCTTGGCGATCAGGAGGTAGAAGAAGAATCTGAGACTGCTTTCTCTGCAATTCAGCAAATTGGGGAACGACTTGGCCAAGAGAGATTTCAGTCCTATATCTCTCGCTTGCCATCTGCCCTGAGGAGACACTACAATCGCCGCCTGGAGTCCCAATTTGGAAGTCAGGTTCCTTATTATTTGGAACTGGAAGCCTCTGGATTTCCTGAAGATCCTCTCCCCTGTGCAGTGACTCTTTCTAACAGCAATCTTAAATTTGGGATTATTCCTCAAGAGCTGCATTCAAGATTGTTAGATCAGGAAGACTATAAGAACCGGACTCAGGCCGTTGAGGAATTAAAACAGGTGATGGGAAGATTTAATCCTAGTTCTACCCCTCATTCCAGTCTTGTCGGTTTCATTAGCTTGCTCTATAATCTGTTAGATGATTCTAACTTCAAAGTGGTTCATGGCACACTTCAGGTCCTGCATTTACTGGTTATTCGCCTTGGAGAGCAGGCACAACAGTTCTTGGGACCAGTTATAGCAGCTTCTGTCAAAGTGTTGGCAGACAACAAATTGGTAATCAAACAAGAATACATGAAAATCTTCCTCAAGCTAATGAAGGAAGTAGGTCCTCAACAGGTGCTTTGTTTACTCCTGGAACATCTCAAACATAAGCATTCCAGAGTGAGAGAGGAGGTAGTGAACATTTGCATCTGCTCCCTCCTGACCTATCCCAGCGAGGATTTTGACTTACCCAAACTGTCTTTTAATCTTGCCCCAGCTCTTATAGATAGCAAACGCAGGGTACGCCAAGCAGCTCTTGAAGCCTTTGCTGTGTTGGCATCGTCCATGGGCTCAGGTAAAACCAGCATCCTTTTCAAAGCTGTGGATACTGTTGAACTGCAAGATAATGGAGACGGAGTGATGAATGCTGTGCAGGCCAGATTGGCTAGAAAAACCCTCCCAAGGTTAACAGAACAGGGATTTGTGGAATATGCAATACTTATGCCATCATCTGCCCAGGGTAGGTCAAGCCATCTGGCACATGGAGCAGATACAGACTGGCTCTTGGCTGGTAACAGAACTCAGAGTGCACACTGTCACTGTGGAGACCACACAAGGGACAGCATGCAAATTTATGGATCTTACAGTCCAACTATCTGTACCCGAAGGGTATTAAGTGCAGGAAAAGGAAAAAATAAATTGCCATGGGAAAATGAGCAGCCTGGAGTCTTGGGAGAAAACCAGACCTCCAATTCCAAGGACATAGAACAGGTATGCATCTTTTCTAATTGCCTTGAATTGAAACTAGAAAGAATTTAAAATGAAAATGGCCTGTAATGACTTAAGGGTGAGGCTGCTTTAGGATTGTTATGCTTTGTTTTTAATTTGGTTTGATTGGTGATGTGGATATCTATTATAATGGTACAGATCACATAGGAACATTTAATAGGCTTATTGCTTGATGGATTTCATTGAATTTGAGGTACAATATGATAGTGACAATACCTGGATTTCAGTTTTGGCCTGTCAATTTGGCATATCGGTTATCTCATCCATACAACAAACTCTGAATATATAGTACATGTCAGATAAAGAGCTAAGTTCTAGTAATGAAGATGAGGCTGGTTCCATGTTTAGGGAGGTCAGACCTGTAAACGGACAGTATCAAATTTGTTAAGGGTTGAATTAGAAATATAGTCTGTGGGAATATGAAAAAAGAAAAAATAATTTCACTAGAAAAGTTTAAAAAGCCTTCTAAGAAGTGTGACATCTGAACTGATTTCCCCCCAAAGTTTTTATTTTGAAAATTGCAAATCTATAGATGACTTAAAAGAATTGTACAATGAATATCCATCTACTACTACTATATTTACCAGATGTCATCTTGCCATATATGCTTCATATTTACTGAACCATTTGAAGGCAAGTGCAGATATCTTGATATTTCCTTCCTAAGTATTTCCACATTTATCTTCTAAGAACTGCATTTTCCTTTATCACATTATTACACACCTCAGAAAATCAATAATAATTCAGTAATATCTAATATATAGTCTGTATTTAAATTTCTCCAATTGTCCCTTAAAAAATATTTTATAGTATTTGTTTTACTTTTATCATCCAGGTTCCAATCAAGGTTCATGTAGTTAATATGTCTCTTATCTAGAACAATACGCCTACTTGTTTGTTTCTTTGTTTTTTTTTCATGGCATTGACTTATTTGAAGAATTTGAGGTAGTTGTTTTGTAGAATTTTCTATATTTCTTAATTTATCTGATTGTTTCTTTTTGATTACATTCAAGATAAACAGTTTTAGCAAAAATCTTACATAGGACATGTTGTGAACTTCACATGACGTCACATTAGGAGACATAATATCAGGTTGTCCCGCTACTGGTGAGCTAAATTTTACCACTTGGTTAAGGTAGTGATAACCAGATCACTCTATTGTAAGGTTTATCTTCCTCTTTATAATTAGCACATGATCTTCAGGCTGATACTTTGAGACCTCATGAATAATCCAACAACCTTTCAACCACTGTCATTAGCATCCAATAATGATCCTTACCTATTCCATTTATTACATCCAGGGCTGCAAAGAAAGGGTATCTATTATTTTTATTCTTACATTCTATATTTGTTATCTGGCACTCTTTTTTGTTCTGTATTAAGTACATCAGTATTCCTTTTGATGCTAAAATTGGCTCAAAGTTGACCAGTGGCCGATTCTTAATGTCCTTTGAGATGACTCTTTAGTCTTTGAACACTTCCTTACATACAGGATCCCAGGCTTACCTTGTACCTTTTTTGTGCCAGATCTGAAATCAGCCGTTTTTTCAAGAGCACTAAAACTGCTTTTTTAGTTAAGAGTAGAATTTAAAAACCAAAGTCTAGGTATAAATGTACTCATTGCTATTGTTTACCATTGTGGATTGGTCCTTTCAGCGGGCGGAACCAGGGGGTACCTTTTTTTTTTTTTTTTTTAATCATATTGATACTTCCAATTCAAATCCAGCACTACAGGGCTTTTCCTCATCTTCCTTTGGTATATATATATATATATATCTCCCTTCTCCCACAGTAAAACCCTGGTTCCCAGTGTCTGTCATATTCATGTGCTGTATCCTATAATACACACAAAAATAATTACTACACCAATAGCATAGCAACTAACTACCTACTAAAGGTCAAGATTTCTTTGCAGTTCTTTTTCTGCTTAGAATCATCCCACAGTGTTTTATTTTCAAACTCTCTTAAATTAATTGTTTTCTGGGTGATTATGATTTAAATGGTATGAGAAAAGATGAATAGGAGTTTTGCTAAGTGTGGATGGATCCTGGTGAATTTCAGATGGCGGGAATATCTTTATTCACTAGGAGGGGCACCTGGGTGGCTCAGTTGGTTAAGCGTCTGCCTTTGGCTCAGGTCATGATCCTAGTGTCCTGGGACTGAGCCCCACATTGGGCTCCCTGCTCAGCGAGGAAGGGCTCTGTTTTTCCCTCTCCTTCTGCCCGCCCCCTCCACTCATGCTCTCTCTCTCTCAAATAAATAAATAAAATCTTAAAAAAATAGAGACTGCCTTATGAAAGGACTTAGCAAATTAATAAGAAATGGTGATTTTCTGCACAGCTGAGACTGGTGGGAGGTAGCAGAAGATGATACTAGATACATAATCTAGTTATATGGTTATTCTTGTGTATTGTAAACATTACCTGGCAGTGAATGGTTTTCTGTGAGCATTGATCTTAACACTGCTTGTTCTGTGTCAAATCTAAAGTGTTAGTGTATGATGATTCTGGTGCTAGCCAAAGTACCAAGAATCTGAAATTAAGTGCGTTTTTAAATTCCAGTGTAGACATATGTTGCTTTTAAAAGATGGAACTTAATCCCAGAAATTAAGTTCTACTTTCTTGCTCATAAATGGTTTGTAGAAGAACTACACTGAAATTTATCTTGAGGACAGGGATTAAATATTTAAAAGTTTGTAAGTGTGCTGTTTTTGAAGTATATATATTTTTATTTTATTTTTTTGAAAGATTTTATTATTTGAGAGAGAGAGTGAGCATGAGGAGGGGGAGGGGCAGAGAGAGAGGGAGAAGCAGACTCCCCATTGAACAGGGAGCCCAGGACCCCAGGATCACAACCTAAACCAAAGGCAGATGCTTAACCGACTGAGCCACCCAGGCTCCCCAAAGTATATATATATTTTAATAAACATTTTTTAGAGCAGTTTTAGGTTTGAAGCAAAATTGAAGAGAGAGTACAGAGATTTTCCTTATCCCTTCTGCCCCCATACATGCACAGCCTCTTGGACTGGCACCACAGTGGTACATTTATTGCTGTTGATGTATATTGACATATCATTATCACCCAAAGTCCATAATCCATTCCCAGTATTCACCGTTGTAGTATCATACGGAATAGTTTCAATGCCCTGAAAATCTGTGCTCTGCCTCTTCATCCCTCCTTCCCTCCCTCTCAGCAACCACTGATCTACTGTCTCTATAGTTTTGCTTTCTCCAGAATGTCATGGCCCCTGGTCTGATTTGTGTTGGCTCTTCCCCAAGTTCTGCTTTAACATTTCCAGTCTACTGTTAATCTGTTATTTCTTTCTTGTCCACATAAAGCATTGGTTGGTAACATTAAACAGCAAAGCTTCCAGAAAAACTCATGAATGTTTTACATTACATACTCCTGGAGCTCATTTTGAAGATAGACTAGTTTGTTTAGAAAGATGATTTTTGTAGTGTTGTGTTAGGAAATAAATTTACAAGAGGGAAGCAGAGGCTACATTGGAGACCAAAGAATTTAGCTTATAATTTTGACAGTTATTTGAGACTACAGGGTTGTGGTTTTTTGTTTGTTTGTTTTTTGTGGGTTTTTTTCCATTTTTTTTTTTAAGCCATGTTTTAGGAAAATTCATCACAACAGCAGCAATATATAGGTTGTGTTTTGTTTTGTTTCTTTTGTTTCTTTTTTTTAGAGAAGCCAGAGACAGGAGACTTAGAAGATTAATTAGATTTACACTTATTGGACTACTTGGCGTGAGGTGTTGAGATTTATGAGGATTAGCAGGGTTTCAGGATTAGACTAGAAAGAAAATAATGGATGTAAGAGGTATTTCAAAATATTTAGTGACCAAGTGTTGGAGGAGAAGGAGAGAAAGAGGGATAACAGATTTAAATGAGGTGACCAGTGCACAATAGATCCATGAATACACATAGGAAGGCCTCAAACAAGGAAATTAATTTGGGGGAAAATGAATTTCAGGTGGAAGAAGATAGAATATGCCAGTTGAGTTTGAAGAATACTATTCAAGAGACAAGAAAGAACTAGAGATGTAGATCTTGGAAGTCATGTACTGAGAAGTAATTGCTGAGACTGAGAATAGATAGGCCCTCCAGTAAAGGGCATCTAATAGAGCAAGAAGAGCTTGCTAACACGGTCTTGGCATACAGTCCCATTTAGGGAATAGCAATAGGAGATGGAACCAAACAAGGCAAAGAGACAGGTGCCTATGTGTTGGAAGAGCACCAAGAAAAAACAAAGTGTTAGAAGTGAAGCAGAAAGTTTCAGGAAGTACATCTATCTGTACCATTAAATGCAGGAGAGGTTAAGGAGAAGGAAGACTGAAACATGACTTGTTCTTATATAGTCAGGGTGCTACTTGTAAAATAATTTTTGAAGGTACTTTTCTCCTAATTTTATCTTTCTGAATTTCCTCTTAATAATTTTTCTGATTATAAAAAGTTATAATTACTCATTATAGAAAATTTGGAAAATATAAAAAAGAACAAAGAAGAAATTTAGATTTTTCAGTAATCTCACTACTGAGAGAGGTATGCTCTGAGTGTTTTGTTGCCTGATTCTTTTTTCAATACATGGAGGTCCCTCCTTTCATTTATTCACTTACTTTACCATGAACATTTTTTTCTTTAACATCAAATAATCTGAGAAGGATCTTTAATGCCTATTTAATATTGTATCATATAATATCATGGTCTATTTAGCTGCTCTCTTACTTTTGAATATTTAGACTTTTTAATTCTGTTTTTGTTTCCACCATTTAAATGATTATTTTTGTGCCCTGACAAATCAAATCACTGATAACCAAGTTCCTGTGATATTCTAACTTTTCATCTCCTTTTTTGTTTTTATGAGTGTTTTAATGAGTTTGTTGGGTCAAGTATCAGGTTTACTAGTTGGCTGCCATATTAGCTATGTTTTTTTTTTTTTAAAGATTTTATTTATTTATTTGACAGAGACAGAGA